ATTCGGATACCTTCCTCATTGAAGTAGTAAAGAAAATTCGCTTAACCCTGACTCTGACACAAATTTTATTCTTCGAATACTGACCCTATTTACATTTGTAAATATATTTATTTTCATACATTTTGCATGGAAATATTTTTTGCGCGTTATGTTTTAATTGTTGTTGTTGCGTTTTTTGCATGGATATATATTTTGTGCGTTATCTACATTTGTTTTAATTGTTGTTGTTGCGTTTGTTCTTTGCATTTGAGAGTACCGTTATATTTGTTTTCACTTGTTGTACGCTGATCTCTGTTCTTCAGTTATTTGTAGTCTTTCGTGGTGTAAACTTCTGTGAATTGTGAACAATTGACTAATCAAAATGGAAAATAGTAATAAAAAGTTTAAAGTTTTGAGTGTTTCATCGGTGGCCCGGTAAGAAAAATATGAAGTACATACATATGTATGTATATAGTTTTATGTTTTTTTAACTTATATGGCCTTGATACTATAGGCTTCCGTATGATATGCAAATGATGTATTTTTTAAAACCTTGTTGAGGGCATTGAGTCAGATGATGAAGAACTAACAGCAGAAGCTACTTCGAGCCGTGTAAACGATGATGGTGATATGTCCATATTACTTCAAAACCTTGATGATGATGCCTCCGATATTGAAACCGAGGAATGTCCCGTAGAAATGGGACACGGAGGTGACTCAGACATTGAGGATGAGATCGAAGATGAGAAGAAGCTGATATTCCAGAGAACCCAGAAGAGGACTTCTTCCTTGCGAAAGACGGAACAAAATGGAGCAAAACACCACCCGGTTTGCAACGCATCCGACAGCAAAACATATTTCGTGAAAGTCGTTTTATTGGCCCCAATCCGAATACAAAGCACTTGAATATTATTGACACTTTTTTGAATATCATGCATCCTACAATTCAAACAATTATTTGTAGAAATACTAATAGAAAAGGCAAAGCTGAGTACCAAAAGCTGGAACGTGGTCGAAATGTGGAAAAAAACACAAAGTAAGTAAAAGTAATATTTCCTGTGATGTTGCTTCTAATAATGTATAAACAATGCCATGTGACAACACAATTTCCGACGTAAAACAAAAACCGAATATAATATTATTTTACAATAATACCAAAGGTGGAGTAGATGTAATGGATCATATGTTGGGGCAATATACCACGAAACGCAAAACAAATCGTTGGCCGCTTGCTGTTTTTTATAATATGATCGACATATCTGCTCTTGCTGCCTATATAGTATATTCGGAAAATAATCCGTCACGTTTTACATGTAGAAAAGGTAATTATATTTACATATTTGCTGAGAGCAAAATTGGATTATGATTAATTTTATTTTTTTTTTTTTTCGCTAATAGGTGGACGCCGATTGTTTCTAGAAGAATTGGCGGAACAATTGTGTATGCCAACGATATTGAAGAGATCAAGCATTCCAAGGGTTGTCTCATATTTTCCAACAAAAAATGCAATTGAATGCATAATTGGTAAGCCGATTCATTCCTTGAACAGCTCCACATCTGTGGATTTTATTCCAGATGAAGATGATCGCGGACATTCAACCATAAAAGGTGCTTGCTAAATGTGCTATCACGAAGAAAGTAAGAGAAAACGCTCAACACGGAAAATATGTGTTCAGTGTAAGAAGCCAATTTGTGTCGAGCATAGCAAAACTCAAACGAAATGTAATGGTTGTTGTAAAGACTGATTAATATTTTCAAAGAAAATCTACAATAAAAACATGAATTATCCCCAAATAAATCCACCAATTTAATTTATTTACAAATGTAAATAGGGTCAGATAATGCAGAAAAAGTCAAAAATTTACTAAAAAATAACGGTATATTATAAAAATTTTTGAAATCATATTTTTTTTCAGAAAGAGCATACAAAATAAGCCACTGAGTGTAAATTATATTTAAATCGTGCCAAAAACATCAAATTTGTAGCTATTTAAAAAATGAAATATTTACATATGTAAATAGGGTCAGGTTAGGGTTAAGTGCCTTTTTCGGTTACGTGCACAAGTTTTTCGTGCAAAGAAG